GGAGCTCCCAGCACACTAGTCATCTCAATAAGTGCCTCATGTTCAAACTCCCACTAGAAGGGAATCTATGGCATACACGCTATAGTGGGCTGTCTGTATTACTGAAAGCTCTAAAAGGTTTGTCATCACTGCTCTAGAATAAAAAACGCCCCTCAGCAAGGGCCTCACTGTCCTTCACCAATGTCTTCTTGTACCTGGCACAGGTCTCACAAATGACGTACGTGATAAGTAGACGTGCAACATAGCTACAAACACATTACAGACCAAGATGTAGATTTTACATGAAGTTTAAGATAAAACTTAAGACTCTGATGATGCCATTGTTAGTCTGATGCCCTCAGACCATAACCTCATATCTGTGGCAGACATCCATGGATTGCCCTCTGCTTCCAGCGATACCTTTGGGAAGACTGTTTGAGAAGCCCTGGTTTACATTTAGGGTCTTGTACAAACAGTACACTAGCAAGCAATACACTGTTCTGAGACTCTATTAACCAGATGTTAAAGGGAGTTCATTTGACCAAGCTAATACTTTCAAGTTGTAGGTGAAATTTTATTTATTTATTTATTTATTTAGTGGTACCAGGTGTTGAACTCAGGGCCTTGAGCTTGCCAGGCAAGTGCTTATTCTACTGAGCTATCTCCCTGGCCCTGTAGGTGAAATTTTGTAAGAAAAAGATAGGAATGAATGTCACAAGGTAAATTAACAATATTATAAGAACTTAAAAAAACCCTCCAAACTAATAACATTTATCTTTCACATCAAAAGGCAAGAATGGATAGGAGGTTAGAAAAAATATGTTCAGTCATTAGCTGGTAATACAGAAAAACACCTCCACTTCATAATAGGAACAAGTATTGAATCAAGCTATGCAGAAATCTATTTTGTTTGATAAAACCTACTCTGAACTCTGTTTTGTAGATCAGGAAGAACCTATATTCCTATGTTGGTGTTAAAATTGAAATTGATCTGCCTGTTTCTCAATGGAATCTCTGTCCTACTCGACATCATGCTTCAGGAGACTGGTCCAGGCCAGCGAGTAGCAGCATTTTAAAACAACAGTAACAATAAACAAAGTATCATAAAACTCAGAAGGTCACTGATCATGAGGTGACCTTGACAGGAGAAAAAGTAATGAACTAAAGACTTCATGCCTAAGTAACAGGTTAGTAAATTTTACTAGCTAAATCTAGGAACTTGACAGGCCATCTTCACTGCGTCAAAAACACACTCTCAACTGTTAAATAAAAAGGTTTCATCTTATTCTTCTAAAACTGGATTCTCCATCTACTATTTCTTCAACAGTGGAGACTTTCTATCAATGCAGGTAGATTCCAAATGTCAAGTAGGTCAGTAACAAATGAAAAGATAGAAATTTTAAAGGAGATGTTTAAAAACAGGCTTTAAAAATGAGCCTTAGCAGAGAACTGACTGGAACACACTGTGAAAAGTCTACTACAGTTAAGTACATGAATATTAACAGGAAAAAAAATCCTGCTGTGTTCATAAATAGTTATGACTTGATGAAATAATTACAAAGAATGTAAGTCAAAATTTTAGATTAGTTACAAGTGTTTATAATGATATTCTATCCTACAAAATAAAACTATTTTAAAACCTTTAAAGTTTCCACTGAAAAAGCTACTTCACAAAGAATTTCTGCTCAAATATCTACTGCTTTCTGGTTTTTTACAAATGAAAACTAGGGGTTCACTGCCAGAGAGATTTAACTATCAGGACTGGGATCAAGTCTGTATCTTGTTTTGTTTTTATTTCTTGGCAGTGCTAAGGATGAACTCAGAGCCTTGCAGCACATGCCAGGCAAACTCTATTACTAAGTTAAACCCCAACCTCTTTTCCTTTTTTTTTTTTGGCAGAACTGGGGATTGAACTCAGGCCCTTGCACTTGCCAGGCAAGCGCTTATTCTACTGAGCCACCTCCCCGGCCCCTTTTCCTTTTTTTTTTTTTTTTTTTTTTTGAGATAGGGTCTCACTAAGTTTCCAGAGTGGCCTCAAACTTGTGATCTTTCTGCCTCAGCCTCTTGGAATTACAAATGTTTGCCACTGTGTCAAGCCAAGTCCTCATTTTGATTTAATAAAGAACTAGCTTAAATTCTAAGTTTATTGTTACTGTTAACTGAAGAGCAACACATTTAGTCTAGAAAAAGACTAAGAGAAATTAAAGGTTTGTACATAAGGACAGAGATGAACTGCCAGCCTACCACAGGATTTCTGAACTCTTGTTCTAGTGTAACCAGTCTCTAGTAAATAAGCAATGTGACAACTATCAACTCCACATGGCACACGTGTCCTTTAACTTCAGGCAGTATTTCTCATCTTCTCACTTGAGTAACAGCAGCACAGAGACATGGGGGGTTCTGCCCTCGATCAGGTGAAAGCTGTGTGCTGAGAGAGCTGGCACTCTAATTCTGCCCTGGACATGGGGCACGACAGGCATCTTGTTACATAGACTGAGCAGCCACCTTGGTAGGAGCTTAGGAAGTACAGCATGCTCGTCTCTGACCTGGCATCTCTTCCCAACAAGTTCACGACTAAGTTCATGTATCACAATGGGCAAGTGATAAGTATTTCACACCCAACTGTGAGCAGCACAGATTTTTTTTTTTTAATAAGTAAATGTACTTGCCTTTTCTTCTATGACAAGATTTTCCACTTTTCATTAATTACCTTCTGAAAGAAATCCACTCCTCCATACAAAGTTCAAAACCACACAATGTACTCCACCTTTACAATGTTAACTTTAAACAAGTGTTTTTGCCAGAGTGAAAATCATTTCATTTCATGAGGACAGATTTAATAAAGCAATTGAAAAATTTTATTATAAATAAAAGCTTTTTGGATTAAGGAAATGGATACTATAATTTATGTAAATATACTAATCTCAATTGGCTTCTCTAGTAAGAAAAGGAATAAATGTAGATCAATGTTTCTCAGGTAATAGTACTAAGTCTTTGCTATGGATATGGCAAAGATGCTGATGGAAATGGTAGGGATGTGTTCACAAAGGTGCATTTAAACAGTTGCATGCATGATAAATGTGGATGCTGTGTACAGAAACAGACAAACAGGTATAAGATCAGACAGAAACGGCTACAGATAGAAGGAAGACACTGGCTCAGCTGAATCCCAGTAAGTTCATTGGGATTTCATGGTCTAAAAAATTTATGACAACAGAATTTCTATAATGAAGTTTTAAAAAGTTTTATTTCATTCTTGGCTAATTCATAATGATATATTCTTGAATAAAGAATTTTATCACAAAATACATAGCTATGTTAAAAAATTAGAGACAAAACAAGAAAAATGAACTGAAATTCTAAAGAAGGATGAGTACTTATTAAATACCTGTGAGTAATCAAAGCTATTTAAAAACTATTAGATTAGTTCCTGGAACCCCAAAACATCTACTTTCCCCTGGGAAGGAGAAACTATGCTTCTTCAATCATCCCCTAAATGCAAAGAGGTTTGACCCCCATGCAATAGATAAAAGTCACCCAAAAAATGAACAAAAGAGTTGTTTGGAAAAACCAGAACACCATTCATCCCAGCTAACGACTTGTTCATTATGAGTGATGATGGATAAAGACTTCTCATGCTGAGATGAAATCAAGATTTATATGCATTGTTTCCTCTCCCAACTTGTGGGAAGATCATCATCATTTAATTCTATCTCTGCGGCCAGTGATGGGCATCCAGAGAGCTGGTTATCAAACGGCGCAGTCAGCTGGCAAAAGCCGAAACGTGCAGTTGGCACATCTGGACGGAGCCGCCACAGCCGAGGGTGAACAATGACTCCTGGCAAGCATCCAAATTGCTTGCAGACGCTAGCAGGTCTCATCTACAACCGCCCCTACCAGCATCTCTCTCTCTCTCTTTTTTATGAGAATCAGATTTTCATTGCTCCATTCAATTGCTCTCCTCTGCCATTTTTTACAGCTCTTATCGTTCCCCTGGAATATGGCCTTGAGACAGCTCATCCGTGTCCTTCACTGTGTTATCTCTGCTAACTTTTATTAAAACTTCAGCTTTCATCTGAAGATAGCTAATTAAATCTGGAACAGATTATATGCCTCCCCTTAAAACGAGCATGAAACTGTTTTCTTCAAACTGTGCAGTGCTTTCTTTTTCTTTCCAAAAGGTGAAATCAAAGATTTTTAAGGTCTCTTTATTTATAAAACTAAGATATCTGACATGTCATATATAGGCTGATTTACAGTACAGTTGCCTGTAGCATTACAAATCTTTAAGGTATTTCTCAGAATAAGTGTTTCTCAATACTGGTAACACTTTTTTCCAACATGCTTTAATTTTCATAGCTAGTACCAATAAGTCTGTTTTATACATAAACTTGGGTAATGAAGAGTTAGAGATTAACAGGTACTTGTGATTTATCTTTTGCAAAAAATTTTAAATTGCCCTCAACTGGTAAAAACAGAAATTTTTCTTTTTACCACTCCCAAAACATTAGTAACTAAAAGTTTTCCCATTGAAAATTACATGAAATTAAAAGTAATTCAAGAGCAGAATTGATTCTGTTTTTAAGGCAGTCTTCCATCAACTAATGGTTGCACAAATAGCTCTGTCTTAATTTACCCACATTATTAATGATAGAACGTCCATAACTGATGCAAACATATTCTTCTCATACACACCACTGACCCTTTTTGAGGTCCAAGGAAAGCTAAAAAACCCCCAAAAAACCCAAAACCAAAAAACACACTTTTTGGGGGGTAGGGGTTGTTTTACTTTTGTCATAGACTAGCTAACCAAATCTAGCAATCATATTTCACACAATTGAGGCAGACATCAGAAAATGTACACACAAATAAACACAGACACACCCATGCATGTGCATACATGCACACACACATGTGCGCACACGCACACATGCACGCACACACACACACACCCCCTCAACACTTTAGGCTCTTTTAACTAAGGGTTAAGCTCCTATTTCCATGATATGATTTTAACTCACCTGCAATTTTCTGAGATCCTTTTCTTCGCTTCACTGCCTTAAGCAAGATTTCCTTCATGGTGACCTTTGTGTTGTCCACCTGAATAAGGGAGAATCCATGAGCAGCATTTCTGTAGGAAAAGACAAAATTAAATTATCCCAGCATTCAACCACAGAAATATTATTAAAATCATCATTGTGTTTTAAAGTAAGTATAGATCAAAGTACCGATTGTTCAAAAATTGATTAAATAACTCTACTTGTAATGCTACGGCAGGGCTGATGCATTCTAGTACAAGCAGTTCCATGTGCAAGAGAGGTCACGGTTGGGGAAGGCTTTCCTCATTTATCTCAAATTGAACCTAACTGGTCTGTGTGGGTCAGCTGCATCAGGGGTTCCTCTGCAGCAAGGGGTGACAACTGATAAAATTGGCTTGTGTCAGCAGATGTCACCCCAGGCAGATACTACCATCATCATAACAAGCTCACAGTGCTCCATAGGAAAAACCTGGGAGGGGGTGTGGGCAGGGTGAGGAGAAAGGATATCCCAAAGCAATTAGATGGAGGAAATGATGGACTCTTCCTAATTAGCTAGTAAAACATCTATTTAAAAAAAATATATATATATATATACACACACACATTACAGTAGCTATATAGAATGGTTTAATCTATTTAGTCCTAGCAAATCAAACCACATGTTAAGCACAAATAATTTTAAGAAAAGATACTAACACTACTTTGAAGGTTCTGGTCAAATTGCATAGGGGAGGGTTTCACCTAGCTAGGAAAAGCAGTTAATGAACAAGTACTCTAAAAAACAGCTGCCTATCTGTTGGGTGAAGTATAACTTCACCAAGACACTTAATTGCAATAGCAAGCATCACAAATACTACCCACTATGTTTGGGCACTGGAACAAAACAGGCCAATTCCAAGCAACTCATGTAACAAACAGGACCCAAGTTTCCAACTATGGAACATGGGAATTGCCACAAGGAGTTTGGTTGCGTTCCCATTTCCCTGTAAGAATCTCAAGGGGGAACATGGCCAAAAAACATGGCAGAACTTCATACTGACAAGAAATCTGAAAGAAAAGCCAAGCTCTAAGCTAAGTCCTGGAAAAGCTCCCCAATGGTAAGACAGGCTTGGAAGGGGCCTGAAGCCTAGGCTGGATCCAACCAGGTGGCTGGCTCACCACAGGGGTTCAGGCTGATCTCAAAACTGAGAACCCAATTTGCTTCCCTAATACAGAGACATCTCTACAGTCTCCTCTCCATACGGCTCGCTGTTTAATCCTTGACATTCCATTTGTTAAAAAGCAAAAGCCGATGCTGGTCTGGCCAGCACGATCATCCATTTTAACTTGGTCAAGTTCTTGCTATCGAACAGCAGGCCTGAGAACTGTCAAGCTAATTTTACTGAACACTCTGTTACTGAATCATGCCTGAGCTCCAGCCATTCTTTACCTCACAAGCTGGACCCCATCCCAGAACAATCTTTAAAAGTTTATTTTACTGATCAAAGCAAAATAAGAAATAGCTCTTAAAAAAAAAAAAACAAAAAAAAAACAAAATACAAACCTATACTTAAGGAGTGATGCAGTAAGTGATACGTTGGCAGAAGTACTGAAATGTAAAGTGCCTTGTGCATTTAAAAACTTGGGGTATTTGCTCTGGCGATAGGCCAAGATGTGCTTGGAACAAATGCCAATCAGCCACATTCAGACCTGCCTTCCCCTGCTTTCTCCTCAGACATCAGTATGTGCTCCATCTGTGACAATATGTTGGGCAATGGATGAGGAAGGCCAAAAGCAACACAAATTCTTAGGTACTCAGAAACTAGCTCTGGCCTATTCCTCACAAACTCCCATCCACCTAGTTCTACCTGAACTACTGTACATTTGGGCTGCCTCATAAATTGCTTACATTCTCTTTGATCTGCTGTTGCCTGACAGCATTATTTCAGGCCAATACGTTCATATTTTTCAGCAAAGGCAGACTAACAGCTCAAAAAGAAGCCTTGTGTTTGGACTAACTTCCATAAATTAAAAGTGTCCTTTTAAAAGATTTTTGAACACAGGAAAATCCCCAGTCTGTATTTTTCTGTCATTTTACCAAAATGTGCCTAGGTGACAAGGTTAAAGCAAGCAGAGGAAATCCCTGGCACTTATCATCCACAGGCATTACTGATAAATTGTGTGGTGGAGGAATAAAGGATTACCTTCTGTATTTTTTCATTACACTTTTCTTTTGTTACAGAATACATAAATCCATTGTGGCACAATGTAATATGTATCACCATGCTACACCTGCGGACGCTTCTGAGCGGCTGCCATGTCTGTGCAGTCAGGAATGATAAGTGAACCACCCGTGAATGTTAACGATAGTGATCATTCTGAGGTAACTCGGCTCTCCATCTTCCTTTACAGCCTTCGTGCTGAAGCCAGGGTAGCAAGGTTCACGAGAAGAAAATGAAAACAACAGTGAAGGGAAGGGGCACGTGCGGCACTCGGAATGGGCTTTCACGAAGGTTCAGTATCTTACTCTGGGGCTCCATTTCTGTAAAAACATGCACATTGAAAGAGGCTCTAGTTCCATCCTGCATGCTCACCCAGACCCCGTGAAAGTTTCCTCAGGTCATCCCACAATCCACCACTCCCTTTCCTCTAGACAAAAGTGAACTTTAGATCTTGTGCCATGTCTAGAGTGCTGTAGTGGAGTAGAATGGGCAACACCTTGGTCTTGAGAGATACCTGTATCTGCTTCTAAGATGTAATGAATGTTAAGTGGTTCTTGGTATCCTTCAAGGTGTGACTATTAAGTTATGCCTAGATTTAATAAATGGAAGTGGAGATGTGCTACCACAATTTTCAGCTTGACTTCCAAACATTCTGGGGTTTATGCCTCATTTCTTTACATCTAGGGTTTTTTATGTGCTTTCTAAAAAGTCTACTGAAATACATCTTTTAGAGCCTCTCTTTCGTCATTGGAGGGCAGTGTGTCTGACACTAAGACAATGATCTTGAGGGAAAACGTGTGCTACTAGTGCTGCCTCCCTTCCTCTGCTGTGACCTGCACAGAGTGACTGGACCAAAACACAGGCAAGTCACACCTAGACCCAGCTCTGGGCTCTGAATCTGCTCCCCTTGTGAACAGGCAGTTTGCCTGCCCTGGGTGAAGAGCACTCGGGGCACAGAAGAGGTAGCTGCCTTCCTGAGGCTCTAAGGGCTGTCTGTGCTGGTGCAGAAAGAAGCTCCACTTCAGAGAGCTGACTAAATGCTGCCAGGAGTGCTTCAGTCAATTCAGAGCTCGGCCCTGTCAAGTCTGCAACCACTGAAAAACGTACAGGCATCTTAAAAAGAGATTACTCACTTGAAGAATTCAGCGCTGTGTCTGTACAGAGACATTCAGTTACCACAGAGAAGTTCCGATACCAGCGTTAACTGGACACAATGAACGTTTCTCTACTAAGTAGTGAAAGAGAGGTGATGGGAAACAAGAAACCAGCACAGATCTTCATCTGGACAGCTCTGATTCTGAGCAGGGACAGAGCTAGAACCAGACCCCAGGTTGGTGGGCGGGGAATTAAATATCCTTTGAAAGAAAGCCTGGTTGCATAGCTAAGCAAAATGTTGCCTTAAGGACCCCAGCTGCATCCATTAAATGAGGACCCAGCACTAAGGCTGGTAACTAGTAAAAGGAGCTTCTGAGTGTTATCTATGTTCCTTTGACCCAAGTCATCATCCTGGGAGAAGAAACCCCATCACTGTCACCCCTCAGCTTCTATTTAGATTGTTTATTAGGAGGAAGGGATCTCAATACTCACAGCATGTAACTAGTAACATAGTGTATTAAAATGTGTGTTTGCTGGGCTTACAGGCAGCATTCAGGAGGGTGTTAGCAAACACCCTCAGGTCCCAGTATGTAAAACCTCCCTCTTAAGGGACAGCAATCTGGGCTCAAGTTTTCAAAGCTTTCTTCTGTGAGGCAGTAAACCACATTTTCTACCTTGATTTAACTGATTGTCTCTGGATGGGGATAGTGGAAGTAAATAGTCATGGTGCTTATGCAGAGAAATTCAAAGAGATTTTGATTTGTACAGTATGTACTATTCCCTGTGTAACAATTACAAAAATAATAGCTGCAATGATTAGTCACCAAACATTTATTATACATCAGTGCTGTTTTAGCCCTTTCTTTAAACAATTATATTAAACTCATTTAATTCTGTAATAGGCATTATCATTATAGTATTTTACAGAGACTAAGGCTTGAGGCATCAGGGAATTTATCAGGTCACTTGTCCACTAAAGATCCTATTTGAGATTCAGTTATCAACAATATGGGCCCTAAGTTATATAGCACAGTCCAGTGGGAGAGAAAAGGAACCCAAGAATCTAACATTAGAGTTCTTTGTATATGGGTAAGTGCAAGGAGAAGGGCTGCTGAGACTGGGTCTCAGAGAAACTTTCTAGCATGGCTTAGCTTTACACTTCACCATGGAAGATGCTGGCAACATCAGAAAGCAACAGAGCACAGCAAAGTCCAGAACGAAGCTCTGCCTTCCCTGGATAAAGTACATAATCACTCTGACTTCATTTCCTTGTGGGCAAAATGGGAATGATAACAATCCTTGGACTGTAAAACTGCACTTCCAAAGTATTTACCGTAACTCCATCATAAAATAAAGACTTAACAAGCAATAACTGATATAATAACGATAAGCTTTTCTTTCTTTTTTTTTTTTTTGAGGAACCAGGGATTGAACTCAGGCCCTTGTGCTTGCCAGGGAAGTGCTTATTCCACTGAGCCCTCTCCCCAGCCCCAGCTTTTCTTTATATATCCAAAAAAAAAAAAGGTATGTAATGAGGACACAATGACAACAGTCAACATTTACTGAGTACTTCTTTGTTTACAAAATTATTTCTCAAAAGGCAGGTCCCATTTATACCTGGAAATTGAGGTTTGGCCAGGTTAAGACCCTTGCCTGGAGTTACTCGAAAGATTAGTGAATTCCACTGGAGAATCCTGGAATTGACTTAGTGAGCCTCCAATGCCTGTGTTTTTAACCCCTTGATAGCTCAGAAAGGAGGCTGAGACTCTGGGAAAGAAGAGAATCACGAGAGCAGA